TAGAAGAAGCCACGCAGGATTACCATAAAACCCATTCAGAGGAATCTAATCAAACAGTATGGACTTGGGAGGAATACTTTAAAGAACTGTGGGGCTTGGATAAGATGATTCCGGAACAATCTAAAGAAAAAGTTGAAGAAACTAAACAAAAAGTATGGTTGCAAAAAAGAGTGAAATTTCCTGAAAATTATGTGGTGATAAGGAAGCACTGCTCTTTTGAGGGAATGAAGGGTTATCACGACTACAAATGGGAGATCAGAGGTGAGGATGATAATGGTTTTCGGCTTGAAACTATATACTTCCCCGAGTTAGAATCGTGTATTGAACATTTACTTCTGTACAAGAAAGAAGGAGAAGCCTTAAAAAGACCGCATCTAGGTACTTATACACAGTATCTCCATGGAATAATTCCTTATTTTCCAAATGAAAAAGGTATCCCTTGGAGGACACGAGACTATGATGATGATGATGATGATGATAATTTGGACTTTATTTAGATTAAAAGACAGCCTGTAAATTGTTGTATGTATTTTTTGTTAAATTTGTAAATTTCTTTGTTTATTGGGAATAAAAATTGAATAAAAATCAAAATCTGTCTTGTTTGTGTTTTGTTTTCAGTAAAAAATCCAGGTGGTTCTTGTCTTTCAGTAAAACCAGTTCAAACTGGTTATAGGACTGTCTAGACTGTGAATGAAGCGTGACGTCATAATCACATTCTTGCAATGTTTTTTTGCACACGGCGCATTTTTACCTGTATAGTCAGCATAAAAAACGTAGTACCTACGTATAGTGTAAACACCCTGTATTTAAGGGGAATAGGATAGGGTTTTTTAAAAAGGGGTTAGGGTTAGTTAGGGGTTAGGGCTAGGGGATTAGGGTTAGTTAGGGGGTTAGGGTTAGGGTTAGGGTTAGGGCTAGGGCTAGGGTTAGGGTTAGGGTTAGGGTTAGGGTTAGGGTTAGTTAGGGGGGTTAGGGTTAAGGGGCTAGGGTTAGGGTTAGGGCTAGGGTTAGGGCTAAGGGGGTTAGGGTTAGTTAGGGTTAGGGTTAGGTTAGGGTTAGGGGGCTAGGGGGTTAGGGTTAGGGCTAGGGTTAGCACTCACTTGACCCACTTATTCCCTCCACCAATCAAAATCCTCCATTTTGAACCTCATTTGCATAAAAAGTGCACTCAGTTGACCCGGCCATCTAGAATCCTTATACTACTAACGTTAATCTATATTTTACATCTTTAAATCATAGTTAACGCGATAATCTATTTTTCACAACCGTAAACGATACGTAACACCAAAAACAATCATTTGCGATTGAAAAACATAGATTATCTGATAAATACAGTCTCACGATCTGTAAACTATGGTTTACAACTCTTAACTATAGTTAACGATCTGATAAATATAGTTTCACGATTTGTGAAACTAGATTAACTACTCTTAACTATAGTTCACGATTGTAAATTATAGTTTACAGACGTGAATCTATGTTTATCAACAAAATCTAATAATTTAATTTTATTTGTATTCTCGCCTCTCATTGGTTGATTTCCAAAAGGGAACGCATAACATTTTGTATAATCTGGTTTGGTATGGGGACACACCCCCTTGACGACCAGCTTAATCATCATATCCATGCAATCCCCTCATTTCCAGTCCTCGGAATCCATGGAAAATTCCAGATTTAATAAATGTACCTTCAACTTTAATCAATTACTCGTTCTTACCTCATGTAAGCAAACATCATGGCTGCTAGATCTATGTATCAGTCATTACCTCCCCTCGCTTCAAATCACTTCCGTTACTACGGTTGTATTATTGCGCGGTAAATTTGAACTCATAAAAAGCAACACAATTTTACACCCACAGTTGTTTAATTATTTTAAAATTAAATTATAGGGAATGACTCTAATTCTTGGTCAAATTATTCAATTATAATCTGGTTTGGGTCAGTTTACGCTTTTTTATAATCCGCTTCGCGGATTATAAACCGTAAACTGACCCAAAACAGATTATACTCGATAATATGGCCAAGAATTAGAGTCATTCCTTAATTATTAACGTTATATTACAGAAAAATAAACTTGGATTAGCATTCGTAAACTATAATTAACAACCGTTAAATATAGTTTTACAGATGAAAACTACATTTTGTAGTTAACGAATTGTTAACTATAGTTCACTATTTGTAAACTATAGTTTACAGTCGATAAATCTAGATTATCAACTGTGTAACTAGCTCATCTTTGTGAATTTGGCGTACCATATACATGTCTTTTTACTTTGAATGTCATTAGTTGAAATATACCGAGATAAACATTTTGTATCACTAGCATGTACCAATAACCTTCCAGCTAGATCCTATATTGTATTAACCTTCTGCATTTTGTATAAAGACGCAAACACGTGGCTATCCATCAAATTGTAGTTTTTATTATGACGATGATTTTTTAAAATTTGTTTTTAATTCTTATATCACGTGAAATCAAAATTACTTTTTTTAGCCTGATTTTTTAGGCGAACAGATGTCAAGACTTATCATTTATTGTAAATGTTTTTCGGACAATAGAGATATTTGAATATGTCCAAAGCTGTTCAAGTTGTTTAATTGCTTAGTTTACACTTGCAGGCGTCCCAGGCCTTGTGGGTATACCAGGTAATCATTGTTTCTTATTCATAAAACGTACTACTACACGATAAAATAAACATTTCTTTTATGATAAAAGAAATGTTTATTTTATCGTGTAGTAGTACATGTAGCTTGCAACAAATTTGTGACAACAAATTTATTAAAATTCAAATATTTTGAATTCGTAACCTTTCAAAAGTCATCAATTTTACAAGATTCTTTCGGTATATTTTCTTATTGAAGATGCTGAAGTTGAAGAAATATTTAAATGTAAAAACATATGCAAGAAGACATGTAAAAGTCGCCCTTTGTTTTTTCAGGGTTACCCGGTGTGAAAGGTAAATAAATATATTTATAAATAAACATATCAATACATTTCTTACTTGATTTTTAGAGAATTTGGAATATTAAGATAATCTTATAATTCCATATCCTTCTTCCAAAATTTTCTAGTGGAGTAAAAATACTTTTTCTTAATTTTATAGGACAAAAGGGGGAAAATGGTAAGTTCTTGTTTGTTCTTGCAATATTCCCCATTTTCAAAAGGTGAGTTATTTCCCCTGAAGGGAACTCTTTTACTGTGTTTAATACGCATGCGATATAAATAAAGTCACTTCCGCGGACGTTCTTGATGTAAACATGTTCATGGTGTAATGCCTCTGTCATATGGAAAAATGTTATTGTGTTTGTGAATAAAAAGAAATCTTAACTGATTCGTATTTTTTTAAATTGCCCACTCATTGTCTCTTTCTGGATTTGTATTAATCTGTATAGTAGTATAATAAGGCGCTGTTTGAGCCCCCCCCCCTTACAAAAAACAGAAAAGAAACAAATTACTGATAAAATGCTGATGCATATTCGACTAGGCCTATTTAAAAAAATAAATAAATAAAAAAAAATAAATAAAATAAAAAACAAATTTTCGGTAGTGGATGTTCTGCAGACGGATCATCACTGTTTACAAAATGTGCAGAACAAATGTAAGAATTTTTAGTTTTTACGAATTAATCTAGCATGCTGCAGCCATATTTTCTTCTCTGCATCTCTAGGAATTTTTTGGAGACTGATGACATGTCCATCTACAGTTTTACCCCTGAAATTGTTGCATATACAGCAGCAGTTCGTCTTCCGCGACCGATACCAAGAAACTGCGTTTTTGCTCGATTGTATGTCATAAAATAGAACTTTTACTTACAAGAACACATTTGGTGACAATTAAAGGCCTATTTCATTTGAATTAACCGTGTTTCCAGAATTTTTTATTTGTAAAATGATAAAATAGCATCGACCTGAATTCGTGTTACATATGTCGTATAAAGTCTGAGCTGCATTTAATCAAAGTTTTAGTGCAGGATCTAAGCATATGTACATGCATATTCCAGAGGAAAATACACATTTTGTTTTAGATCAGAGAATTGACAGCAGAAACATGAAATTGATACAACAATTTCCAAGCGTATTTCTTGTTAATTAACGGAAAACATTCTTTTCTCAAGTGTTATTCATGTTTTACTTTTTCTATTGAAAATGTTCATTGAAAGCTGCCATCCCCCCCCCCCCCCCCCCCAACACACACACAGTTTATACTACGGTAAAGTTATATAAGGGAAATGTAGTATTGTATGCCAAGGAACTGGTACTGAAATAAGTAGCTTTTCGACTTTGGGCAAGGTTTTTCTTTGCTTGTCAACTTTTCCAGGTAAGAAAAAACATATTTCTTTGGCTGCCCCCCCCCCCCACTTTTAAAGACGATGATACGTGCCTGGCTAATTCGTATAGCTTTCTAGAAAGGGGGGGGGGCAACAGACCCTTTATAAAATCGCTTATTATCTTAAAAAAAATTGCAAACCGTTTCCTTCTTTTAAAATTTTTAATGCAGCGTGGAAGTTGATCACTATTTTGTTGGATTATCGTAACGTGTAGTCCGCGGAAGTTGTGCTAGTGTAGAAGAGTTCCGATTTTGAGGGGAGATAACTCACTTTTGAAAATGGGGAATAAAATACAGTACTTATAAGTTAGATACTTGCCTTTTAATCTAAGAACGTCGGGCACCGAAAGTTAATGTAAATATTGTGCAGTTGTGCATATATAACAAAGTTGGACACTCGGCAAATAAAGGTTTAGGGTATTGTGGATGCATATTAAAGGCTCAAACGAAAAAGAAAAGTTCTATATAATCCTTGCTTCGTTCCACTGCAATGCATTTTTTTTTTAGAAATAAATTTTTTAACATCTCTACGTACCTAAGAATTTTGCTAAATTTCTGAAGTTTCCGGAAACAACAAAGTGAACATGAAGCTATTTTTTTTATCCAAACTGTTAACTTTTTGTGGCCTTGTTAAAAATGATTCCCCTGTACAGAAGAAAAAAAAGTTTATCACTGAAGTGACTTAGTGGTAAGTTAAATCATTATTTATATATTGGAGATCTCCAAAAGTAGATTTCTTAGGCATTTCTTTATATTTGTCAACAAAGGTTATAAAGTAAGAATATTCTTACATTGATGAAAATTAGTAAATGACTGATTGAAATTAACAAAACATAAGTTAATTTATTTATTTGTTTTCAGGGAGCCCTGGGCCTGAGGGACCAAGAGGTATACCAAATTTTTCTTCACTTTACATTTATTTACATCCTTGCGTTGTAGTCTCTCTGAGATACTCTGAATGAAATAATAAATTGTCTTTGATACATCAGGTGTATATATTTGATGGTGCTCTCGATGAACAACCACATAATTCATCAGCTTTTCTCATCATCGAATGATATTTTCTTTTCTTTTTCATTCTTTTTTTTGGATAGAAATATTACATTGCAAACATAACCCTGATATCAATGATTCTCTTAATCGATTTCAGGTTACCCTGGATATCCTGGTGAGAACTTAATTAATTAGTGTACGATTTTATACTACCTATAGACATCAACAAAAATGATAGAAGTTCAACAAGAACAAAAAGAAACACCAGCTCAAAATCTTTAATTATCTTAAATGCATATAAATTCATGTTTCCAAAAATAATATCGAACACTTTAAGCAGTTTTTAAAATTATTAAACATGTAAGGGAAAAATTATATTTATTTAAAAAAATTCCAAGACATTGAAAAATAATATTTTCCTAATCGGTTATTTTTGTAATACCCTAAAAACACGTATATAAATTCATTTATCAAAACTCCTATAAGTACTGTGATTCAGTCACCACAACACCTTTGATATGTTGATAGTGTTTTGTTTGATTAGGTAAGCAAGGCGACATAGGACAGAAAGGTGACCGTGGGGCTAATGGTCTAAAAGGAAAAAGAGGCATCCCTGGTCGAAAAGGAGACGTGGGTTCGAGAGGAAATAGGGGATTCCGTGGACAGAAAGGAGAAATGGGAAGGACTGGATCCAAAGGAGACCGTGGGGATACGGGTCGTAGGGGTGAAAGGGGTGAACCCGGTCCTAAGGGTGAGCCTGGAGATGCCGGTGAAAAAGGCGAACGGGGAGAGAAGGGGTCACCAGGAAAACCCTGGTCTCCGGCATCTAATGACACGTGTCTCTGTTCCTGTACTTACATCGGTAAGCAATTTCACATTCAAAGCCAAACTTTTTCTTTTAATAAACTGAATCTAAGAAGAGAGTTGTGAATTTACATAATCAACAAAAGATTTTTTTTTGGTCTTAATTAGTTTATACATGTACCTGGTAATGCGAAAATTGGCTAAGATCACTTCCGTTAGACTGGTCAAAGTGTAATATTGTTGTCACAAAATATAGTAATAAAGTCAATTTACAACTGGCCTTGGAACAACGGTACCCGTACGAAACAGTCCGGGAGGCTTAATCACGGCTCAGGCACGGATTCCGTCTCCAGAAACCCGTGCTTTAGCATTCCGTGCTCCTATGTAAAGTATATATGGAAAGCCGTGCCTTAAAGTGGTCGAGGCACGGACACGGCACAGGATATTGGCCGAATTATTTAAATGAGATCACACGGTTTTACAAAACCCGTGTCAGAAAGCCGTGCTAGTTTCCATATATGGACTCACGGATTCTGTAAACCTGTGTCCTTTTCCATATATGGAGACACGGTTTTTTGGAAACCCGTGTCAAAAAAGCCGTGCTGTATACCATATAAGGAGTCACGGGATATGTGCATTTGTTTAGATCTAGGTCATGGCCATTATAGAATCCCCTGATGTAACTGTGGATGCCAAAATGGTGACTGAAACCAAACTAACTTCACATTGCTTTACATTAAAACTTAGTTTTAGAATTTTAAAAGTTAAAAATCTTAAGTGAATATGTCTATTTACTTTCTGTTTTTAATCTTTAGTTTTTAATTAAGATTTTAATGATAATGTACAATATTCAATTGTAATTTAATCTAGTAGCTAATTAAGTTTGCACAATCTGAGAAAGCATTTTGTTTAAATAAAACTTTCACTAGCACATTGATGTCACACAAAATATATACTTTAAAGGATAAGTAAAAGTCCCACTAAAGTCATTCAAATAAACCTAAACTATTTCATCATGTTCATTGTCAACATTGCAATTCTGGAGATCATGAAAATTGAAAAATTGACATATTTATTCTAGATTACACTTACTGCATTTAGTTCAAAAGTGAAGCAATTATCCCAGACTGACATAAATACAATTCCAACTGACATCTTAGTTTAATATCCTTTAACTAGAGCAAAAAAAGACACATTCTTAGCTCAGGACCATGAATCCCTCCAATTTTATATTCAAATAAAGGAAGTAATAATTGAGCATGCTCAGTAAAAAGCTGTGAGATATAAATAAATAATTTGAAGCAAAATCCGCCTGAGTTAAAAACCGTCTCCCTGGGACACGGATTCCGTGCCTTCACACGGATTTCTATGAGTGAGGATTCCTCACTTTCAGACACGGAAGCCGTGTCCGTGTCTTGGACATGCAGAACCCGTGCGGCTTTTCAAAAACTCGTGCGGATTTCGTGTCTTAGCCGTGCCCAAGCCGTGCCTATTCCACCTCGAACTTTCGTACGGGTTGTGAATGACAAAGGTCTCAAATATACGTATTTAGTTTTTAATGAAAGTTAGAAGAAAATAACTTACAACAATCACGTCAAAAGTCCCATGGAATGATACCGATATATATATATATATATATATATATATATATGATTGCGCCCATGGGAAAAGGGTCCTTATGGCAATTTTTATGCATTTTGAGTTTTTCAAGGATTCTGATAGAGTAAGGTTAGAAGTTGTCAAATATGAATTTTCATGGTCCTACGTCTGCTCTAAGTATGTTTTTTCTTCATTTTTATCAAATATACTTTAACAGGTTAATAATGACGTCATGTTTTTTCAACAACGTCAAACGTTTTCAGAGTGAACGTTAAATGATTTTCTTCTGTAATTTTACTACGGTGATTAATAGTTGCATAATATTTGATATTTTTCCATGCACATTATTTTTATCTTATTGTTTCTTTTAATTATTAATAATTATTTCATAGTTATATATATTATGGATTCATCAGTGGTGTATAGTATTATGAGTGAGTGTTTGTTTTACATTTCACTTTTCTATGACACCAGGGGGAAACCTGAAGAGCGGGCAACATCCATTAATTTTCTTTTTTTTGAAACAATTATTTTCTCAAACAAAATATTTATTGGTAATCCATGCAAGAGTCATTTGATAAGCCTGTAGAATTCATTTGAAAATTATTTTAATTTAAACATTGCTCTCGATAGGTCAAGATTTCAGTATAAACGATATATCTTTAGTTACCATATATGTGAAAAATATTTTTTTTTTAAAATTACAACATTACGCTACCTAAATGCTACTGCGAAGTGAAAATTTATCTGATTGTTCTTTCTTTCTAAATTTTATATAAAGACAGAAAATGTGGTACATGTAACATGTAATTACGATACACAATAGACAGTAAATAAAAAGGAAATTCGGTTGATTCACTGCATCTATAAGTTTGTCTGTCTGCATTGGTTCAATAATGACACTGCTTTTTTTAAAATATAAAGGATACACGAAATATTTTTTAGTCTAGCGGTAAAAATATTTTAATATTGACCAATTAAAAGGTGGAAATTTTACAAACAAATGAATGAGTTATAATCTGCAATCATTTGCACAATAGATAAACCCAGGATTAACATCTGTAGGATTATGTGTATGTTGGTGAAGGGGGGGGGGGTAAAATCTAAATGGCATGGCAGAAACTTGCAATTCTTGTGAACACGAGTTAAAATAAATAAAAAAAAAAATTTAGATGCACCCAGTACCATTAACCCCACAACTTGCAGATTCACTTTTTATTTAGGTTTGAAATAATATGCTGTCTATTATTCTTCATTTTATATTTGTACCTTTAATTCTGAGCATTGCTATTTTCAAAATCGCACAGCGATCATAAACACTATGAGCCTGGAACTGAATTGCTATGAATTCAGTATTATTAATCATGTATATAATGATACCATAGAATTAAAAACTCTGGTTTTATTTTATGAAATGGATTGTTTTAGAAGCACACCCATAGAATTAAATTAAAGATGCCATTTACGGTTTATATGTATAGCTTTTGTTGGGGGTATGGATGGGTTCAAGATTAATAACATGTAATTGTTTATGCCTTAATATACAGTCAGTTGAATATGACTGTTTTGTATAATATGTTTCCTGACAATTGTCTGTGAACTGGCTGAGCTTTGAAATGTCAGATTTTTGTAGGGATGTAAACATCTTAGAAAATCATCATACTATTTATGACGTAATTAAAGAAAAATCCCCTTCATTCTAATATTGTTTTCTAATTTTATTCTATAAAGTGAGTTTTAAAGGGCCTTCACTTTTTTCCCCAACCTACTTATACTATAGGAATTGATAATTGAAAGTCTGGTTGCCCCCCCCCCCCCCCCCCACTATTAGTGATGTACGGAAAACGTATTATAAAAATTGGTACTGAAAGTAGTTGAACCCCCCCCCCCTCCCCCATGAAATAGGATTTTCAACTTTGTGCAACATGAACCTTTTTTTTTTTGCTTGACAACTTTTTCAGCGAAGTAAAAAAAATTATCTGGCTGCCCCCCCCCCCCCCCACTTTCAAGAACGATGCTACGTGCCTGGTGCCAGAAGCTTGGATACATGTATGCTAAGCCTTGTAAAGCCTACATGTTACGGAAATATATAAGGACACCCCCACCCCCATCCCCTGCACTGCAGCCAAAATAAAACAAAATGCAAGCATATTGTTGCGGTTTCATGTCATGTATTTTCAGCATTGAATTTTCCTTTTTCTGTTAGCATTTACATGTAGAAATAAAACCCGACCATGAACTTATAAGGATTTTTTTATCAACCAAAACAAATAAAATCATATTTGAGCATATTTAATAATATTTATCCATAATTTGATGGCAGGTTAAACAATATATTATTCCACTCTGATAACTGCAATGAGATTATAAGTTCAGTGATGATTGAGTTTTTAGCATGATAATTGATCTGTTAAGAGACATCTAATGCTGATCGAGCTTTTATGAAAGACAAAGTTCGTCATAGCTTAAGGAATTAATTTGCAGATAATGCTTAAAACATTTGAACTCCGTATGAAAAAAAAACAACAACACGTAAGTACCAAAGAGTTACATGTTTATTAAATTTGGAGATCTTGAAAATAAATAGCTATACATGTATGGGTAGTTTAGAGAACAAAAATGATATTATCTTTCATTTATTATTTCATTTGTTTTGAAAACTCATCTTTTTCAATAGAGTTCACATTTCCCAATATTAGATAAATAGATTCAATATAAATAATTTTATCTACCCTCCATCCTCTCTCTCTCTCACATCAGATTTACTTGACCAGCTCTATTTAAGTTAAGAACATTAAGAACATTTTTTTTTCATTCGGATGTTTTTTGCTTGTTTTAATTTCTCTAAATTGAAGTGTCTTTGTGCAAGAAGAATATTAGACAAATCAACATTTTTAAAGTTTAATTTATTTAATCATGATTATAAGGTAGACGCTTTACATGTTTATGATCTTTTAAAAAAATGAAATTCGTCAAGAAATTATTTCATGCAAATAAAAAAAAAGCTATAGATAAGAGATTTGAAAAAAAAAAAATTAAAGTCTGTTCAATTTTGCAGTTTTCCTTTTTTTTCCTTTGTTTTTCCTTTTTCTACATTAATCTTTTTCCCAAAGTACAACAATATTTTTTATTTAAAAATTCATAATTATGCTGACGATTAAAAATGTTTTTATTTGGTCGTAAAAATATCTCTTTTAGAATCCGAGAGCAAATTCATGCGAACATGCAGCTGAAATATGAAAAAGTACGCAATTAAAATGAATGTCCCTGTCTGGTACCCCTGTTACATCGATTGTTGACATCAGAGTTATCGCTCCTATTTTTATTATTTATAGAAAATACAAATAATCTTGACTATCGTTCTTACACATTCTTGCTAGATTTGTAGAAAACGTTGAAGATGTATGTTTAGTTTTAACATTTGTACAAACAATTTAACAACAGTTTAAGCAGTATGCACCGATGAATCAATGTTTGTACATGTGATCGACGCGATCGCAATGTATATATTTGAGAGTGGTGGATGGAGAGGATCTCAAAGAAGTAGGAAGACAATTTTCCTTTGCAATATTTTTTACGATATATCCTGTCTAAGATGTATTCTAGAAATGGTATAAATATCTAAATAAAATTTATCTAGAGTATAAAGGTTCATTATCCTATCAGAAAACACCTCGTCTAGAGCTTCTATATATTTACCATCTGTTTACGCATGTAGGAAAACTGTTGGTATATAGAGACGTATTTAATAATGTTTGTTACGAAACCAGCGCTAAATGTTTTTATTTATATCTATTAAAATCAGTGGATTAGGAGATTCAGATATTTATTAAGTTAATTTATAAATGAAAATAAATTCCACATGCTGGAAACAGCGATAAAAACTCTGGGTGCGTCAAACGTCAAAACATGTGGTTAAAAAAAAATCTGCGTCGAAGTTCACCGTCAGTCTGCAACGTCACATCTTTATGACGTTATTTCTCTGTTTTAGCAAAAATGCCATAAGGACCCTTTTGTCATGGGCGCAATCATATATATATATATATATATATATATATATATATATATATATATATATATATATATATATATATATATATATATATATATATATATATTAATTCTTAATGCATTTATTGTAATGTTAGTATAATTACACATAGTAATTCAACCTTTCATATTTTACAATGCAGCATCCCCAACAGAGAATTCTGTTTCAGAAGAAGAAACAATGACTGATGTCGTGGCATGCTCACGTATGTTTTGATAAGACATTCTTTGTATTATTTTACGATTTAAGTACATGCAATCTAAAATTAAAAGTTATTTAATAAACTGTGTAAACTATTTTCATAATCAGCATCATCTACAACGACCAGCAGTTCGACAACAACGACAACAATTCCAACAACATCAACAACTAGCAGCACAACAACAACAACCGTGACCACCACCTCAACAACAACCCCTGTACCAACGACACCGAAGCCGAGGAAAAGTTGTCAGTATCGTCTGATGTGTGTCACTCTAACTATGAATAATCGGTTAATGCATATAAACTTTGAATGTTTATTAGAATACTCTTGTTTCAGATTGTGTCATAAAGAAAATTGGAATTCCGTTCTTCAAAACGAAGTCTGGGTCGTTGAAGGGATGTTGGATGAGAGATCCTTTAATGACGTCACAGAAAATCTGGGTCACAGAGGCAGTGAGTGGACAGTATCTCATAGAGTATTCATCTACAGAAGAAAGCAAGGAAACAGTCATGTATAACTTAACTCAGTTTATGTACCAAGGAACAGACCATGTAGTGTACAATGGCACCTTTTGTTATCATTGGAAAGGTACCCTTAAAATAGTTTGTTATGATCTCCGTTTACGTGCAGTAGTAATGGCGTTCGACGTGATCAATTCAAATTATGAAGGGGATACAACTCTGTACAAAGATAGTAATTCTTATTTTGACTTGGAAGCAGATGACAATGGCCTGTGGCTTATATACACGGAGAAAAATGACGTGGATAATATTTATGTTCTTCATTTTTACCCTGGGACCTTAAGAGAGTATAGACGCATAAAAGTTCCAGTGAAAGTCCAGGAGTATGGAAATGGATTTATATCCTGTGGAATTCTGTACCTGGTGTCGAGTTCTACAGTTCAGAGAACGACTATCCAATTCGCTTACGATTTATTCAAAATGGAGTCTATATCATTATCTTTAAATTTTATTAATCCTTATGCAGGAACTTCTATGATAAGTTTCTTTTATGATAGAAATCCAAGAAATTGTAGACTATTAGGATGGGACAGCGGGCGCCTGATTGATTATCAAATACTGTTTCGGTGACATGCATAACAAGAGATCACTTAACACAGTCTCTATGTCTGTCAGTATGAGACAATATATTATTTGGTATGAAAACATCTGCAAAACACCATAGTACATGTAACTGACCGTGAAAATTTATTTGGCTTTTTACTTATCCTTGTGTATCCAATCCTTTATGAAGGGTGGGAAAATGGTATTTAAAAAAATTAATTTATACATATCCGAATTGTTGCTTTTGCATCAAATACTTTTCCAGTGGGAATGCTTGTCAGTGTTATAAATGGATTAGCAACTCTTTCAGTGCCATGTTAATTTGCCCAAAACGTCACACACAACGCTTCAATTTACAACGCTTCAATGCAAAGTGCAACCGATCAGGTACATGTGTTGATTTTGAAATAAATCGTAATTATTCTAAGATAATTAGTATAAACAGTGCTCACAGCAAATGTTGAAAACTTTTTTGAATAAAATTAAGGTTTTTAGTAAGGGAAACTCACTCCTCCATGGCACCTGATCCGACCACTGATGTTTTGAAGGTCCGTGTTTACTCTGCTCCTATATTGTATTTTTTTTTGGACTTGGGAGCTTGGATACTGTTCGTTATCTCCATTTATTTCAGTGATGAAGCATTAGAGTTATACAATGTAATTAGTTAGAATTGACTTGCTTCAGTTCAGTTTTATTGAAGTCGAGAGACATACATCTCATAGACATAACACATGTAATAATGAAATAAACATACATCTTAACACGTGTAATAATGGAATAAACATACAACGTACATGTACAAAGCATATAATATTTCTGATAATCTATAAAATTGATAAAGATGCTGTTCTTGAGGCATTCGCTAATTGCAAAAATTTTCCTAAATTACATTATTCTTTTATATTCTGTGCACTAAGTAGCTGTACCAATTTGAAGACACTTGTCTTCGGGAGTAGTAGAATTTAATGTATTTTTGTCTTAATGTGTTGTAATGTGGACATTTTAACACAAAATGGAATTCATCTTCTATGTTACCTAATTGACAAAGACTACATGTTCTATTATTTCTCAAAGTTTTATATCTTCCTTGTTCAATCATTAAGTTATGCGCAGATAGTCTTAATCTGGTAATTGTTACTCTATATTTTAGATGTATTGGTTTACATAAATAAGACTGAAGGGTAAAATTATCTACAAGGTGTTGATAAATGAGACATTTTGGTGATTTACCTAAATCTGACATAATGTTTTGGATAAATTCGTCACACATTCTCTGCTGTAAAATATCAATTGTGTTACTATTTATACAATTGCTATCGAATAGTTCTACTAAACCAAGCCTATGAAATTCATTCTTAATATTTACAATCCAGTCATCATTATTTTCTAACCTTTCTTGTAAACACGCTTGAAGAATGCAATTGTCACTATTTCTTAATTTTAACCAGTATTTAAAGATTTTCTTTTTCCTGACCAATTCAAGAGGAAATTTACCTAATTCACAATATACCACACTGTTATATGTATTCTGTCTAACCTTAAGTATTCTTTTACAAAATGAAAGATGTACTTTTTCTATATCTTTAGCTTTGTGCCATCCCCAAATTTCAGATGCATAACACAATACAGGGCTAATATAAGTCTCAAACATATCTAATTGTGTTTTAACATTAAAATTCAAATCTTTCATTCTATTCAAAACACTATACATGGCTTTTCTACCCTGTGATGCAAAATGTTGTTGCGTTTTTGCAAATTTACCATTAAAATTAAACAACATACCAAGATAATTAAACTCATTAACTACTTCTACAGTATTCCCATCATACTCCCAGTGTTCATTAGCTCTAGTATGTCCACTGTTTCTAAACACTAATATATTTGTTTTTTCAACATTAACAGTTAAACTCCACTCTAATGTATATGTATACAATGAATTTAACATATTTCGTAAACCCTCTGGTGTTTCTGACATTAATACTGTGTCATCAGCATACATAAGTAAAAACAAGAGGCCCAGGGGCCACAGCGCTCACCTGAGCACATCGGGCTTGAATTTATCCCCCCCTCCAGGCGTTCATCATTTGAACAAATTAGAATCTACACTAACTGAGGATGATTCCATATCAAAACATGTATCACTAATCATAGCTTTGAAGAACTTGAAAAGAAGATTTAAAAAGGTTTCCCTATATATCCCTATGTAAAACTTGGGTCGGCCATTTTGGCCCCACCCTAGCCCCGGGGGTCATGATTTGAACAAACTTGAATCTACACTACCTGAGGATGATTCCACATGAGTTTCATCTTTCCTGGCCCGGTGGTTCTGGAGAAGAAGATTTTTAAAGATTTTTCCTATATATTCCTATGTAAAACAAGGAACGGCCATTTTGGCCCCACCCTTGCCCCGGGGGTCATGATTTGAACAAACTTGAATCTACACTACCTGAGGATGATTCCACATGAGTTTCATCTTTTCTTGGCCCAGTGGTTCTCGAGAAGAAGATTTTTAAAGATTTTTCCTATATATTCCTATGTAAAACAAGGGTCGGCCATTTTGGCCCCGCCCTTGCCCCGGGGGTCATGATTTGAACAAACTTGAATCTACACTACCTGAGGATGATTCCACATGAGTTTCATCTTTCCTGGCCCAGTGGTTCTCGAGAAGAAGATTTTTAAAGATTTTTCCTATATATTCCTATGTAAAACAAGGGTCGGCCATTTTGGCCCCACCCTTGCCCCAGGGGTCATGATTTGAACAAACTTGAATCTACACAACATGAGGATGATTCCACATGAGTTTCATCTTTCCTGGCCTAGTGGTTCTGGAGAAGAAGATTTTTAAAGATTTTTCCTATATATTCCTATGTAAAACTTGGGTCGGCCATTTTGGCCCCACCCTAGCCCAGGGGGTCATGATTTGAACAAACTTGAATCTGCACTACCTGAGGATGATTCCACATGAGTTTCATCTTTCCTGTTCCAGTGGTTCTCGAGAAGAAGATTTTTAAAGATTTTTCCTATATATTCCTATGTAAAACTTGGGTCGGCCATTTTGGCCCCACCCTAGCCCCGAGGGGTCATGATTTGAACAAACTTGAATTTACACTACCTGAGGATGATTCCACATGAGTTTCATCTTTCCTGGCCCAGTGGTTCTAGAGAAAAAGATTTTTAAAGATTTTTCCTATATATTCCTATGTAAAACTTGGGTCGGCCATTTTGGCCCCACCCTTGCCCCGGGGGTCATGATTTGAACAAACTTGAATCTACACTACCTGAGGATGATTCCACATGAGTTTCATCTTTCCTGGCCCAGTGGTACTTTAGAAGAAGATTTTTAAAGATTTTTCCTATATATTCCTATGTAAAACTTGGGTCGGCCATTTTGGCCCCACCCTTGCCCCGGGGGTCATGATTTGAACAAACTTGAATCCACACTACCTGAGGATGATTCCACATGAGTTTCATCTTTCCTGGCCCAGTGGTACTGGAGAAGAAGATTTTTAAAGATTTTTCCTATATATTCCTATGTAAAACTTGGGTCGGCCATTTTGGCCCCACCCTTGCCCCGGGGGTCATGATTTGAACAAACTTGAATTTACACTACCTAAAGATGCTTCCACATGAGTTTCATCTTTCCTGGCCCAGCGGTTCTGGAGAAGAAGATTTTTTAAAAATGCCATTAATTTTTCACAAATTCATAATTATCTCCCCTTGGAAGTGGGCGTGGCCCTTCATTTGAACAAACTTGATTCCCCTTTACCCAAGGATACTTTGTACCAAGTTTGGTTGAAATTGGCCCAGTGGTTCTTGAGAAGAAGATGAAAATGTGAAAAGTTTACGACGACAACGACAACAACAACAACGACAACGACAACGACGACAGACAACGGACAAATTTTGATCAGAAAAGCTCACTTGAGCCTTCGGCTCAGGTGAGCTAATAAATTAATCATTTATAGTTCTATTGATGGACAATTGGTAGATATAAAATGATTTTCAAAATCATTGACATACATTGAAAACAATAATGGTGACAAAATTTCACCTTGTAATACACCAGTTAAAATATTAAAATACTCTGACAGTGCTCCATTATGTTTTATACATGCTTTCACATTCTGATAAAGTGATTTAATTATACACATCATTTTTCCATCTATACCATATAATTTAAGCTTCATCCACAGACTAGATCTATTAACATAATCAAAAGCTTTTTTATAGTCAACAAAACAACAATACAATCTTTTCTTATTTCTAAGCATCTTATTTACCAGAGTTTGTAAAACAAAAATTGCATCAATGGTACTTGCATTGTGTTTAAAACCAAATTGTGCATCTGTCGTTATATTATATTCTTTGTCCCACTCTAACAATCTTTGATTTAAAATACTTGTAAATAATTTAGCTAGACAACTTACTAAAGTAATACCTCGATAATTGTTAGGATCATTTTTGTCACCTTTCTTAAAAATGGGCACAATACATCCTGTTGACCAATTTTCAGGGTAATGGCCAGAATTAAAAATCTTGTTAAAATAATTTACATGTAATAGGTGTCATTATATCTTTACATTTAATAAAAAATTCATTAATTATGCCGTCTTCTGCATTACTCTTATTGTTTTTCAATCTACTGATAGCTTTATCTACTTCGTTCTCAGTTATTTGGTAATCTAATTCTTCGTATATTTGTTCTTGATTATTGGTTAGAATGGGTTCTACTTCAATATCTGGTTCTAAATCTTGTTGATACAAATTTTTAAAATGTTCAAAAAAGACTTCTGCGGGTACACTTGATTCTGATTTGTTTCTTTTCTTATCAAAAAGTTTAAAAAATTGTTTAGGGTTGTGCTTTCTTAAATACTCCATATTGCTACCCTGATATCTCTTATAATTGTGTCTTCACTTTCGCGTTAATCTCTTATAGACTGATTTTATCTCCAAGAGCCTAATTCTGTTTTCATTCGATTTACACAAATTAAATTGATGTAATACTGACTTGTACTCAGAAAACTTGACTTTACATTTATCATTAAACCATGGTTTATCATCTTCTAACCTTTTGACCTTATGACTTTTTTTAGAGACACCACCTTCTGTGACTTTACAATAAGGTAAAATTAATTCACAAATAGTATGACTGAAATTCTCAACACATTTGTTTACATTTTCTAAAGTATCAAAATCATTTTGTAAGCAGTCAAACAGTGCACCAGCATTATCTCTAAGCACAGCATTAATATCAGTACCATTGTCTTTTATCCACCTTACAGTTTTACTTGCTGTTCTACCTGAGT